TGGTCTCTTATTAATTTTTTAAAAAATAATTATTATTTACTGCCATATTTATACGTTTTATGATCATATAATTTCTGGAAATAGAGAAAAAGTAACTGCGTTTGCAGAAGCATGTACTTAAAGTTCACAAACTTCGCTGGTGAACTTCTTTAAGGAGGAGAGTGCAATTTCTTAGATTTACGCATTAATAGAGAAGTAAAAGGCAATAGAAGACACCTTAACATCAAAATTGTAGCTGATCGGGATAACATGTCGAGCAAAGCCTTAATACTGTTAAAAGGCCTTGGTAATAGCAAATTACCCTTTATTAATTTTGCTCTGACCTTAAGGTCTTTCTTAGCTGAATGGAAAATCGCCGCGGTGGTACTGCTTTTTTTAACATATACCCCTTATCACACATCTCTTTAGTTTGTGGTCATATCTCAACTTTTTTTTCTAAAATAGCCCAAAATTTTTTACTTCAAAAAAAATGTACTACCTACTAAACAGTAGCTGTCCAGGGTCAAACATTCTGTTAAAAAAACTATTAATCACTGCGTCTAATTAAACCAGGTTAAACTAACGCCCCTATAATAGTGCGTTTATATATTGTGTAAATAACAGTCCTATGGTATTATTAAGAGAGACTTATTAGTTTTATGGGAAGAAAAAAATCTCAGTAGTTTAAATAATTATATATTTGTGTATATAAAGTGTTAGTTTTGATTAATGAATATGATAATGTTTTTGGAGCTTATATTTCGCTGTTTAGCGTCTTTATTGTTGATTTGCCTTGTCTTATATCATAAGTATATATAACGGCCCCTGAACCGAGAAGCTGTTGAACTGTTAATTGTATAACTTTTAGATCAGCTCAGTCCTAAAGTTTTACACATCCTAAGATACTGCAAATGCTTAGTATACTTGATTAAGCTACCTAAGATTTTAACTTTAACAAAGCAACTGACCTCGTGTTAATTGACATAAATAGAGACTTTTTTTAAGTATGGCATACAAGACTCTGTACAAATTTTCCCGTTTTAACTACCAGAAAACTATGACAAAGATAATTTAAAGTTAATGTCGAAATTAAATAATTGATTTTAGTCAAATGAAACGATTTTCGAGTTAGCGTGAAAAACTTAAAGAAGAGACCCCAAGGCTCCTTGTTTTCTTCTATACGTTTTTCAATATATTGATTAGTCCTTCCGACTGAAAGTACAAGTATAACACTTTTAGCGAATGGTGTAACCCTATTTTCTTTATCTAAACATTTTTACTTACGTGAAGAAGATTAACTACCTGTTCATTTCCAAAAGTTAAAAAACGTCTTATGATTCTTTATCCCTACTACTTAATGCGGACCTTCCTTAATGTTCGGAAACAGTATATCTTGGAGTGATTATGGACATAACATGTAAATCACACCATATACTACGAAAAGCAAAAAGGATAACTGCGGCCTATAGTCTTACCTTAATCGCAAAAGCAGATTTAGGTTTTTTTTTAAACAAGTTTTAATTATACAAAACAATAATCTGTGCTATATAAACCTTTGCTCTTCATGCATAAAGTTACTGCTCTTCTAAACTTATCGAGGGTGTACAAAAGAATTAAAATAAACTGTTTGCAGATGTTCGCTAATGTCCCATGTAAATTAAGATTGCTTAATTCCTCAACACATAAAAGAGTACTTTAAAGTGTTGTTCATAGATTGCTTCCGTGGGATGGATAAATTTACTTATACTTTGGGAAGAGAATGAAACAGGGGCTACAACAAGAATCCTAGACCCAGATACGAGTTTGCGTAATAAAGTAGTGTTCTTAGTGTCAATAGCAATTAGGAAAGTATTTTTTTATATTAAGTAAAAATGAAGCAATATGTGGGCTGCAATTTTTTAATATCGCATAAGGCCCTTTGATTATGGTCAAAACCAACAACTAAAGTCTACGGTACTAAATATAACTCTAATAAAACAAAGATATTAATTAAACTAACATGAGCTTAGAGCAAGAAGGAAATCAAGACCTCACTTCGTTACATAGGCGGGGACAGAAGTTAAGTTTAAAGGACTCTAATATAGGAACTTAGAAGCTAACATGACCGGCCTTTTACTGTAAGGAAATTTTAAATTTCTTTTTAAGGAGCCCAATATAAAAATGTACAATATAAGTATTGCAGCTGTCGCAACTATAATTGACCCGAATAACGATATTATAGCTTGGTGCCGCGAGTATCACCATATGGACACGATAACAAATAATATCTGGAAGAATACTTTAACCTCTAGGTATTAATTAGGGTGCTATCCTTTCGAGCGGGAGCTCTTAGTCGGGGAGGTCTGGCTAGCTGGCCTTCAGCTAGCCTCGGGTCTAGTGCATGAGGTTCACCTCTCCCGGTGGTGGTTCTAGCGGTTTTCGGCCACTCGGTGTCCGGGTTGAATTTACCACTAAAACCTTTTTTTTTTAAGTCCTGCTGATGTCTCAGACTGATAGGTTTTGAGGATTAGTATATAATAGATGTATAAAAAAAGCGATATAGAAAAGTAGAAGAACTAAAGAAAACTGGTAATTTATTTGATAATTTAAAACTCCCCTGGAAGCTTCGTCACCTCAAACTAAGGCAAGCAAGTATATGTTTAAAAAAATATTTTTGGGCAAGGCATGCCTACTCATTTAAAAAGTGCAGTGATACGAGCCCTCGGGCGAGTAACCCTTTGTTATATACAGATTTAAAATTTACAAGTTATTAAACAAGCAAGTTGGTCCCAGAATCTTTTGTAAAGAAAACAATAAAGGTTTATATTGTATATATATTTATTCGAAAATACTCGACCTCTCAAACAGGTTATGTCACCCGGAAGTAAAACATAAAAAAAAAAGTTAATAACTTGAAATATGCCCTTCACAATTGATTTAAGTCCTTAACTTAGCTTCCACCGTCACGCGAACGGCAATATTGTGTGCCGCTTTGAGATTCTGGAGTAAGTTCTTCCGTTTAACGCCAATTAGCATGTCTAGATATTCCGTTCCTAAAGGGGGACGGAATTACTTTTAAAGTTTCGGGCCAATGGCTTAACCTGTATTGTAGTAAAGTTCATCATTGCACACAAACCCCTACGCGTTTGTTAAAAGGCGCAGAAGTTTAGTTTGTAGTACTTAAAGGGAGGACGTTATTGCCGAAAAGTCGTGGTCGCAAGCAGGAGATGTATATGTTTTAACTAAATGCACAACACAAACTGCCTCCGCTTATTGCACAACAAAAGCTTGTTTTTGCTGCATACTGCCCTGACCTTTACCATCACGTAATTCACGTGCGATCCCTTCGACTATTCGAAACCTATGTTGACCGGTATTGCCCGAGATGTTTCCTTGTTATAAGAAACGCCTTGTTCTTTGCTGCGTAAATAAAAAAGTTTAAATGACATTAGCTAGCAAGCACTCCGAGGTAAAGTTGTAGGTGCTAACATAGTAAATGGAAAACTGACGAAGAATTCTCGTACCACCAGCGTATATAGAGACCCGCGTGTGAGCGTAGACTTGCAGGGACTTGTCGCTCGTACGGTAGCGAATAGCAGCAGTGGTAGAAGGGGAAAGGCTGCAGAACTTCCGCTGCGAGATGGCGAGGCGACCTCGTGTATACTTATTTTTATATAAATGGCGCTTCTGGTGCTCGATCGAGTAATTACGTCGCGTATAAGAGCTTTAGAAGTTCTCGGTCGTCCGCAGGTACAAGTAGAAGTGTTATCTTAAGATTTGTAAGTAGGCGTTTAAGACTATTTATCGTTTTTAGCTCAAGTTATTCTTTTTCAAACAGGTGATCACCTTGAAAAGGTAGAAGTTAACAATTTTTTTTTCTGTAGTCGTTTTTTTTTGTAACACTGTAATTACACTGCGGTAAAAGTTGAAACGACATTATAATTAGCACTACACAACTGGCTATCCAGTAATATAAGTTTTGGTTTTACTTGTTTTTAACTGGACTTTCAAGGCATTTTTTTTGAATGTTGTTATTTATTAAGCGTGTTTAGTAAGCTCAACATTGACTTTAAACGCTGTTGCTAATGTTCGCATCCTAATATAAAACAAAACACAGATATCTTGTAAATAGTTAATAACAAACGTAAATTTTTTTCTAGGTTTTATAGTAATATAGTTTTAAGTGACTATGAATGCTGCTTGTAAAGGGTTTTGTTCTTCCTGCCATTGTCTTTGTTGGAGTTGTTTTGAATTGTTCTATTTATTAAGTACTTTTAAACGTTCTTCCTTACTTTTTTTATTATCAATAATGTTATAATAGCATATAACATACTTAACAACTTTGTAAAGACTGGCTGAATTAATGAATAACTTGTATGCTATTATTCATGTTTGCTTCCAATACACCAAACGATGCTGTTGAAGCACTTCTTAAAAATGGTCATATGGCTGAATTAAGGTTTTCTACAAGTTTTTAGTTAGTTAACTGAATTTTTTTTGCTACTTAATTTATTTTGTAGAAACAAACTTCTAAAACAGCAGAAAGAACGAGCAGAAGATTCTCAAAAGCAAAAAAATATTTCGACGTCGCCCACAGACTTTCTAAATTTTCTTATTAAAAGAGCATTTTTACAGAAGACTGTATTTTCTTGTTTACAATTGCGCCTTATTGTAGTTTATATTATACTTTATTCATGGAGACCTCAATAAATGTGGACTTTTTAGTCCCCAAAAGGCGTCTTTTCGCAGGCCCGTTTTATTAATTACTTAATATTCAAAAAAAAATAGTTAAACTTTTAACTGGTAAATAGACCAAAAGCATTTTCAAGATGTTTTCTCACACAAAAAAATACTTAAAGAAAAAGTTTTCTGCTTTGGCCGTGACAGTGCTTCCTCGTCTCTTTTCTGCAACAACTGCGTTCGATTTTTTTCAGTGGGTTTGAGTTGGATAGATTATAAATTACTATAATTACAGTCTCTTGTACCGTAATTTTTCTACTTAGAATTTATTTTGATACTATTTTGTTATGATATACTTGGGAGTTTTTAATCAGTATTTTTTTATTACACTTTTGGTAAAGATGTCGAGTTTGAAAACCACGTATGCACTATTAATAACGCTTTGGCTGAAGTGGAAAGTTTTGCAGGCGACCATAAAAGCGAATTTAACGGATCACAAGTTGGTCAAATTCCAAATTGCATCATCAATGAAGCGAACAGCTTTTTACAAATATATTACAAAAATGTTGCCTTCGAAGGCGTAATTTCTTATAATTTAATTTTTTTACATGAATTTTATAAAATTGTTTTGAAGTTGTTATATTTTTTACTTTATTATTTAGATTTAAACGGAAATGTAGTACTAAAGTTGTTTTGTAGATAACAAGTCTTTTTAAATACTGAATAATATTTTTTAAAAATGCTATAAAAAGTTTGTTATGAGTTATTCGAAAGTGACTAAAAAGTTTTTTCTTGACATTAACTTTATTCCAATAATTATTTATTTTAAATATATTATTATTACTTGTATGTTCACGTCACTTTTACTTTAATTAAGATTTTAAAAAAATTTGAATTTCCTGAATCTGTTTATTCCCTTCTCATCTCTTTAATTGGAATTACAAATTTTCCTTTACAAATTTTAGAGGTTTTCGTGTTCGTCATGAATTTTTTTTAAATTTATTTTATTAAAATTACCAAATAGTGCATTCCCGTAGGCGCTTTTTGGAAGAAAACCTTTCTAAAAGGTCTTAATGAGATTTCTAATAATTTATGAAATATTCATTTATTGAAGATTTATTTTTAGGGGAGTGGAATGCTGATTTGGTAGTGACGGTAAGCAATTTCTGCCCAGATTCAATGAAACTTCTTTGTGATCGGGCGATCGAGATTCTTTCTAGAGACGAAAAAGTTGTTGATTTTGCTTAATTTTTAGTGTTTTTAATAAATTTTATAATGTTTAAGATCCATAATCGATTTTACGTTGCACACTGTACTTCCCTTTGCAGTAAGCTTGGTATTAAATTTTTTAATGGCAAATTTTTTTTATTTTATTTTTAATTTTTATAAAAAGTTGATAGAAACAATAAAACGACCTGCACCCTTTATTTCGGGTCGCATCCTTTTTTTTTAACTTCTGCTGTTTCTGAAAATGAGAAGATGACTCTTTTCTCTGTTCAGAAGCAACTCGCTGGTATTTTTTTTTATCCGAAAATTAATTAAATTTAATTCTTTTTTTCTCTGCAGGAAAAACGCGTTGGTTTTTCCACGCTTGCGAGGTGTTAGAAAAAAGATTGAACGCTGCGGAGCAAAATGACAAGATCTTGTTTCTGAAGCTCGTAAAATTTAATTTTACATTAATTGAATTATAGTAAAATCTAATTTTTATTTTATTTTATTGAATTACTTAATTATTTGGTTAAATGTTTTTAATCGGATCATAAAATTTTGCATATTGCAGATTTGTCTTCTTCGTGACTACCGACGTCGCACAGCCGTGTGGGCGGTACTGAATTTTTTTTTGATTTTTTTGATTCTTTTCTTTTGAATTTTGTTTGAATTTTGTTTAATATATTTTTTTACTGAATGCTCCGTTTTTAAATAAAAATCTATGTTTAGTAAATGTTTAATTTTTCTCTACTAAAATTTTGATTTTTATGCTGAGATTTTCATAAAATTTATTTATTTTTATATTTGAATTATTATTAGATTCTTTTTTTTGGTTTAGGGTTTTTACTTTGTTTTAAATTAAACATTTTGTAAAAAAATCTTAATTTTAATAATTTTTACTAATTTTAATTTTTTCAAAAATATTACTTTTTTTAATTTTTTTAAACTTTTATGTTGTAAAAAAAAACTTTAGAATTTATGAATTTTTATTTATTTTTAGATTTTATTTAAGCCATTATATAAAAATTTTATAACTATTTATTTTTAATAGAACTTTGATGACTTTGAGCTTGAAATTTTAGCGCTGCAGGCCCTTATAGAGTCTCCCCCGCACTCCACGTTGCACACTGGTCGGGCCCGCCGCCATTTTTTATCTAAAAATTTAATTTATTACTGTTTTGTATTTTGGAATTTAAATCTTTATTATTTTGATTATTTTATTTGGATTTAATTAAAATTAAGTTTTTTTTTTCTCGCAGCTCTCTGCACTAGCTTCTCTTTTCTAGCGCGCGGCCTGCTTCTTCATGGCGGGCCTCGCTTTTACTACGATACGAGCTTGTGGGAGACTTACGATTCCCACGAATTCGACTTTGCGAGGCGCATTCGTGCTGAGCCCGCTCGTATGTGCTAAAATTCTCAAAAGAATTTAATTTTTTCATAGTTTTTTATAATAAAGTTGCTGAAACTGCTGAAGATTTTATAGCGGAGTTATTATCTACCAACAGATTTGAAGATCGAAACCTAAAGGAGCGCCAATTAGAAGCGGTTTTTCATGTCAATTCAGAAATTGGTGGGATCTTTAGTGGTTGCTTTTTCATTTTTTTAATTTATATATATTTTCAATTTTTAATTAACTAACTTTTTGCAGGAACAGGCGTGCTTGGGCAGCACTTTCAAGATTCTGAAAGAGAAAGCGTGACGGCAGCGGCTCAAAACTGTTTAAGATTTTTGTTGATTGGCCAATGCGAGGCATTCACGGAGGATAATTTTTTTAAAGAGATGTCTATAAAGCAGTGACTTTTAAGAAGCGATAAATTATAAATAATTAAAATAAATTATATTACTTTTAATTTAAAGGCTGTAAAATAAAACTTTTTGGTTCACTTTTGTTCTGCATTGCTTGAAAAATTATCTAAATTAAAACAATATGTTCGGTTTTTGGTAAAAAAAATATATAATCGACGAGTTTTCAGGCCCGTTAGAGGGTTAGACTCACCATATAAGTATATGGAGGACTTCTGCCTCAGTATTACTCGTATACTACTAATGTAACAATAACTTTAAATTTTCGTTGTGCTGATTTCACAGGCTGTAAGTCCGAACACTTACTTTTAGACAGTAAAGTAATACTAGCCATATTGCATCCGCCCTTTCATTTGTGTATAAATTGTCATTTAACCGGCAGGGGTCTGGGCTAGGCGTTCGCCTCTTATCTTGTCTTATTGATAAAAGGTATCTTAGCCTGGGCTCGGTTATGAAATGTACTACATATTTAGAGGTGATTAGTTTCGGACGAAAGCACTGATGTACTGTTTTCTGTTTCGCACAGCTAAGAAACTACCTTTATGAGTAACTTCAATAGTACTATCCTAGGGATCGGCACGCTAGCTTAAAACTGATTTTTATATAAGTACTTTTGTATTATTATACATAGTGAGAGGTAAATGCTAAGTATTATATAGTTAACTAACTTGCCATTCGTTTATTGAAAGTGCTTACTTTCGTTCTATGGTAGTATAGTGGTATATAAAGGACACTGATGCAATAGTGCTATTTACTAGTATATACTATTTTTAGTCCACTTTTCCCACCTTTAACCCAAATAAATAATATAAAGTATGTTATAGACAATAAACTGATATAATAAAGGAAAGTTGAAGTACTAGAAAGCATTGTATATTTATTTGGTTATCATTAACTCACCAGTCGCATCAAAACCCAACTACACAGCAAACAACGAAAAACAAAAAAATTGAAGCGGGTGCACGAGTCGACCACTGCCTTTGAACACATAAACAGTTGATAAAATCCGCTCAGTTTTTCTGCTAAACCGGAAGTTTATGAAAAGCTACAAAAAATTATACTTTGTAGTGCTGCTAACAAAACTCAATTTGTGTTATTTTACTCTTGCTTTTTTATTTAAGATAGTACTTGAAAGATAGTTAGAATTCACAAATTTTGAAGTCAAGAGTAATTTACTTTTTTAGGTTTGTATAATTTATAATTAATTTTTGGTACATTTTTTACTTTTAAAAAAAATTATAAAATAAAGAATAATTAATAAAATAATAGAATTGCTAATATTTTTAGAGAATCATTGAAAAACTTTTATATTTAGTTGTTTATAAAAACGAAAAACTTTAAAAGATTCCTAATGTTTTAAAAGAGTTTTTGCTGTGATAAACACAAACGCTTTTTTAATACTGAAGCTTTTAATATCCGTAAAATAAAAAGCATACTTTTAGATATGATTTTAGAAATAAACAACTATTGAACAAACTAATAAAGTAATATTTCTTACCAAGGTATAAATACCCTTCCTCTATGAAACTATACATCGCAGAAGCTTGTAAAATATTTAGAAGCTCAGTTGGTATAAGATGAACGATCCTATAATTAAATGTCTTACTTTCCATATCGACGCCCCGCGACTTCCTTTTGTTTTTCTTAATCTCTTGGTGGTTAAAAAACCGCCCATCTTTCAATATACGAAGGGAAGATAGGTTAGCAGTTAAGGGTTTTGTTATTGCTCATGAAGAATACCATATATATATATAAAATAAACTATAAATTGACTGCTCCTCCTCTCTTTCGACGACAGGTTGAGATTCTGCTGCTCTCGGCAGGTCTCTAAGTCGACGCCGAAGGCTCTCTCTCTCAAGACCCTGCTTCCTTCAAGCTTCTGCGCCAGGAAGCCCGGGCCTCTAAACTTACACTCTGGGTGCCCTTCTACGTTTCCTGCGGAGTCTCTGCCGAAATTTTGGTGAATGTCAAGATAAACTTAAATAAATTTCTCATACTCTTACGTAAAGGATTTATCAGGCAATTACGACAGCTTCAAAAGTATCTAGTGTAACAGATTTAATAGATTTGGGACAGGTATAGTAACGCCCGTAACTTCTGGCAAGAATAACACGATCAGCAGTATGCCGGGCCTTGTACTGATGTCAAGCACTTCGGATACTTCGTACGAGAACACCGGGAAGCTATTGTTACAGACCCAGCCAATGCTATTCGATCTTTCTCCGTATTATCTCCCTTTTCTCGCGTCTTCTTTCGGAGGCAAGCACAGTATTCAAATTGTCAACCTAGTTAGTTATTTAAAGTTCCTTATCAAGGATTGCCGAAACAGCGCCCAGAAAGGAAAGCCCGGGTTGGAAGTATATGATATCAATGTTCAAGGGGATATAATCAGAGAGGAAGGCGTGGTTGCATTTATAAGCGGTCTATCCCAGGAATATTCCAACGACCATTTAGGATACTGCGAGGCCATTATCTTTCCTTCATGCGCGTATTCCTGTACACTTGGGTAGTCCGAGAGGCTCAGGCGGACGCTATAAGGACGCTTTATGGTTATGCCACTTCACTAAGGAAGTGCAGTTCTTTAGAAATTACAACCGTTTGTACGTCGACATTCAAGTTACTATAAAATTATGTCGCAATTTTACTACATATGCATCTTCGTTCCTATACTTATTTTTATTCTTATTAATTTAAAATCTAAATTTATCGTGATTTTAAACATTCTTTTTGAAGAAATAAGATGGGGAATAGATTTTACCTCGACTTTAGACGGAAACTATTTTTGGAGACAAGTTTCCCTACAAGATAAAAAAATTTTGATATACTTATCACACCACTACAATAACATGTGCATTCTTATACATAATTTTATTCTAATCATTCAAATTTAGATTGATTGTGGAATTTTTTAGTTTAAAAAAAGTTTTATTCTTTTTGAAAAAAAGACGTAGAGGGAAACTTTTTAAAGACAAGTTTTTTTTACACGATAATTACAGTCGTGAATGAATTATCATTACCACTACAGTAGCATCTGCATTATTTTAAGTAATTTTATCTATTCATTTCAAATATAAATTTATTGTGAACAGTTTCTTACTAATTTAAGCAAATTTCTTTTTTTTAAAAAAAGAAGTGGATTCTACCACGTTTTTTTTAGACGGAAACCTTTTATAAGACAAGGTTTTCAGCACGATAATTAAAATTTAGATTAACGTAACAATTTACAAAAAAGAATAAATTAAGTAAATATTTTTATTTTAAGCTAATCAAATTCGGATTCCTTGCGGATAATTCAAGTTTAATAAAGGATCTTATAAATCTAAATATTAATTTCTTGTTCGCTTTTTTTATAGCAGATTTTACATTGCGTGCAAAATTTGTATTATATTATAGTAAATTATTTTCTAAGAATAAAATCTTTATAACTTCTATTTATATATAAAGTCCGAACAAAATTACAAAAAGACTCAAGCAATAATATATTTTCGATGTATTTTTGTTAAGCTGGAATTATTAACGCTGCTTAAAATTTCATATTGAAATATAAACTTTTAAATTATTTCTCTAATGAAGTAATTTAATACGCTTTAGAATTTGAAATTTAACTAGAATACTTGCAGGTGACTACAAAAAAAGTAAAATTTTTATTACTAATAAATTTTGGCTCCGTAGAAAATTCTAGCTAGCATTCGCATAATTTTTAATTTAAACTAATTCTTTTGCTTCGACGTAATTCCACTATAAATAATTTAAATAAAAAATTTGAAATTTATATATAAAATGTAAACCCGTTGATTTCAGTTTTTCTAGTTTTTCTTTAAGATTGGATATGCGTTCGTTTAAAGTAAGAAGGACTCGCTCCATCTTAAAAATTTCATAACTATAATCTTAGATTAATAAGAATAAAAGTTACCTTCAATTGTTGCGTGTGGAGGCTACAAACAGAAGGCGTAGCTTTAAAGTTCGTCTGTTGCCCATCTTCGATTAGAAATGTCCCAAGCTGGTAACTAAATTATAAATTATTGAAAATTTAGATAATATATGTATATGAAGAGTACAAAGTAATATGCTATAATTCGATAAAATTAAAATTCCAGAAATATTAAATGTTTAATAAATATCAGTGAATTTTATATAAAGAATGTATAAATAATATAAAACATTAATAATTAGTAGAAATGTAATTTTTAGATTTCAAAAATTTCCAAATAAGTGGATTAAAAAAAAATGTAGAGTACAAAAAATAAAATAAGGATTCAGCAAAAAAATTAATTTCAAAATTATAAAAAATTATCTAAAATCTAAGAAAAAAATTAAAGAACAAAACAAAAAAAGAGTAATTTGAAATCTTAAAAAAAATTTAAAACAATTTAATAAACTTTTACTCACATAATAATATACCTGTCAATAGCAGAAACATCTAAACTATACAAATCACGAAGAGAATCTAACTCTCGAGACGATGTTATATATTTTCTTCCTAAAAACGATCGACACTTTCCACAGTTTAGCACGAAAAAAGTACTATATAAGGGTGGCTTTTAAATAAAGAATTAAAATTTGTTATAACTTTTTCTTTAGAGTTGGACCTTCCAATATCCTCACCATCTCGAGAAGTTTCCATAATATTAGAAACTTCTACAACCCGAGATAATGCTAATTCAAGAAAATAAAGTATTATGTTAAAAGAAAAAAATAATTTTTTTTAAAAAAAAATTTAAACCCTGCAGTGTAATTAAATTTAGTGTCTCGTTATTAGAAACCCATTGAAAAGAATCACCAATTATTACACGGCAATTCTAAAAAAAAAAAAATTAATAAAGAAAATTTTACTTATTACCTTTTTTCTTACTTTACACTGAAATACAATAGGAGTTGGTGCCTGGGAAACAAGTTCATCCTTACTTGTGACTAAATCTACTGGACTTTCTTCGTTTGTAGTTAACATTTAATAGTTACACTAAAAAAGTTATTGTGCAAAAAATTACATAGTATATTTTTTATTTTTACAATAGTAACAAGTTAAAAGTTATTATAAGGTTTCGTATATTGTATGATAGAGGCATTATCGTTTAACCCCGTTACTATATAACAATTATTTGCACGTTTTTTCCTTTCGAGTTGCAGTAGAAACTCTACAATACTTTATTTTTTAAAAAAACTTTAAACCTGGGCAATTTTATTAATAGAATCGTTTACATAGTTACTTATTCGATGCATATAGTTATAGTTTTAATTTTTATAAACAAATTAATTGACTTTAAAGTTATGTAAAAGAATTAAATAAGCAACGGCTAGAGCTGATATTTATGTTTCTATATTATATAAAAAAAAGTAGAAATTTTCTTATAAAAGAATTTATTTTACTTCGTTATTTACAATATTTTTTTTTTTGGTTAACTTATTGGCTTTGCAAGTGGTTGTTACCAGAATTTATTACTTAAAAAATAGCATTTCTGAATTAAATAATACGAGCAGATTACAGTTGCAGCTCCCCTTTTTTTATATAAGTGGACTTTTATAAAAATATAAATTGCCTTAAGAGTTACAGCTTATTGTCTAAAAAATTTTATACATTTAGTAAAAACGTAGAAATTTATTAAAAAATATTTTTTAATTTAAGTGCAGCTGAACAGCGTAACTTTTTAAGTATTTTTATAGTAGAGTAAACGACTACTCTTCTGCCTCTGAGTAATGTTTAAAGATGCTTTTATTTGTTAAAATTAAAAAGTTACTCTCCTTTAGCACAAACTTTTTTTAGCTAAATTTCCTTCTACAATTAAAATGTTACCAGTGTTTCCGATACTTGATAGCGTTTCTGAATAATAAAATAATCCGAGAAGCTTTACAATTGCAGCTCGTTTATTCTCTATGAAGTTTTTTTTGTTTAAAGCCACTACTGCCATGCCTAACACACTATGTTTATTTGTTATATGTAGTTTTAATCTAACTACTTTTGGCAGTGTGCTAGTTTTTTTGGGCATATGGTGTATGGACTGCATATTTTCGCGTATTTTGCACTTTTTATAAATTGTTGTGTACACTCACACGTGGTATCAATTAAAAAAACCTTAGTGATCAGTAAAAGACAAAACGAGATGCCTTATTGAAGGTGGAAAAGGGATCACCACGCTCACTTTGACGGTCACTTTGGGGGCCAAACCCAAAAAGCTCTTCCTTATTCCTGAGGGGCATATATACATTTACAAAATAAACTTATCTACTTACGGAAGCGCACGCACCTTTATCTGGTTCGACAATTTATAACTTAATACCAGTACCCACTCTAACTGCACAGTCCCCCTTTCTACAATGCTCACCCATATCTCGGGTAACAGTAAAAACTTATCCCAACTTCATTATCATTTTATTCCTATAACCTGGGCAGTGCAGCATCTTGCAAGCTGATAAAATATTAGATTTCTTAGAATTAAAGGAATTTCTGGAGCCCTTTAAATTATATTGGTATTTTAACAATTTCTCTTCAGTGGGCATTCCGAATGGGTCTTCACCGCGAGACCGTTTAAAATAAACCCAATTATCCATTGCCTCTACTTCTCTTCCCAACAATATTTTTCCCCTTTTTGTTAAAAATTTTTACCAGTCTTGAATTTTCTTCGGTATTAATATTTTTTTCGATTAAAAAGTTTATTTACAAATGATTTATTACCGTGCCTTCTTAAACTTCTACAATCAGCTTCCAAACTTAGGGATTTTGCCCCTTTACTTTGATTCCAGTGTTTAATGTAGTTTTTGTTACCATACTTAATTTTATAAGAAAGCCATAATTCATTATATCCACAATCTCAGCTGGTTCCAAGCTATATTCACTTAACTTATTCGTTTATTGGTGGCTTCATATATGTAACGTCACCCAGTTCCAGGTTCTCTACCTTTCTTACGTGCTTGTCACGCTAACGTCAACCTTTTTTCATAGTCTGCTTTTTTTCACTCCTAAGACATGTTCCATTCTCTCCCAGCTCACTATTTCAGTTATTTTTCCGTAAAAATCCATATTTTCAATACTGACCAGGTGTGCGTAATTAGTTTTAACTTTTAAAAGCATGTACGCTGAACTAACCTTTAAAACGTTTGGCACTCTGTTATAGATGTAGTTGCAATGATTCAAGACATTCAGCCATGTTAAATATTTTTTCGTAACATACTTTAGAAATATTCTTTTTAAAAATTGAATTGCCCTCTCAGATATCCATTACTTAGGGGGAGATCAATTACTATTACTTATCTTTTTATTTTAAATCTCTTTTTAAAAATCCCTTATCTCTTTGCTTATAAATTCCTAATTTTTATCTTCCGTTATCATCAATGAACCCCGCAACATAAATGTATTTTTCAGTAATTTAATAATTTTTTTACTGGTCAATCTTTTTACAGGTTTAGTCCACACAAACCTTGAGTACCTATCAATTGCTAGTATAATACTATTACTCTCAGCAATTTTTGGAATTTTCATTAAATCTAATGCAATATACTAGTGGCCCCTATAATCGTTCGGGGATATGTAATTTCTCCTTTTTCAGTAGTTGTCTACTTGCATATTTCTGGCACATAATACATTTATTAACGGCTCCTACCCCGGACCCCCGTCCCCCATTATAGGACTCAGTTTAGATACGCCTACATGGCCTAAGTTTTTATGTAAATTAATTACCATATCTTTGTTAAAGTTTGTAGTTCTTTCATTATGTACGCAATGCACATACTTAACTTATTTTCATTCCTTTCTACTTGCGTATCAGCGCTCGCTAATCTTGACAATAGGTCAGTTAAAACAGTCAACCTACCTGGAAAGTATTTTAAAAGTCATTCCAAGTTATTTATTTTGGGTTGTATTTTCAAAATTCGTTTTCCTATGACTGATTCCACAACACACTCACTTTGAAAACACCTATTAAAGCTTTGTGATCTGTCTCCACTATTAATTAACTTCCCGGCGTTTTTTATCATTCCAATAATTTACTAATGCATCAGCTATTATCTTATGCTTCTCTATCGGTTATACTATACTTCCTTTAAGCATCATTTAATATTGTATTCACTAATGCTACGTATGATTCCTTCCATGATATTTTTAAAAAGGGCCCCACCTATCCTCACATCAGTGGCACCTGTCTGTAAAATCAGCTTGTGATCAGGGTGAATAAACTACACAGATGTTTTTCTTTAGAACGTTCTTAACATAAATTAAAATTTTTTTTGGTCATCTTGCCACATGAAAATTGCTCTTTTTTTATAATAAATGACTGTAGGATTCTAGAATAATTGCACTATCAGGAATGTACATGTTCCAATAGTTTAGTGATTACCAAAATTCATCCTTTCTTCAATATTTTCTGGCCTTTTCGTTTATTGCTGCAATCTTTTCCCATCCAATTTAACTCCTGACCCAGACATTTAACAAAGTTTTGAACAAAGTTGCGTTTTTCCAATTAAAAATATTTTTACATTAAATTATTCATAACGAGTGAGTAATTCACTAAGTGCCGTAAGGTGGTCTAACTTTGTGGCAGTACTAATTAAGCAATCTCAACATAGACATGGGTATCCTTCAGTTTTTCAGTTATGATGTTGATGTCCATTCCTTTTTGACATTTAAACAAGACATTAACATAACCAAAAGGAAGAACTGTCCATTGAAGCAAAGAATTTCAGCAAGCTTTGTGTATCACCCTTTGATAGACCCCCTTGGCATTATGCAAGGCCTTAAAAATTTTATCTTTTCTAATATTAAGATTAATAAATTTTTCTTCAGGAATTTTATACCTTTCTATGATACACTGTGCGTTTAATTCTTGGAGTGCATCGCACATTTTCATATATTTTTCTGGTGAACACTTAGGTCCTGATGAGTAGCTATTTTTATCTCCGGTTTTTCTACTAACAACTGCAAATAATTCCATTCTCAATTGTTCGTTAATTCCAGCATACCTATCTTTAATAAATTTCCACATTCCCTTACTATCACCTTTTTCATTCCTCCTTTATTCCGTATATACGCCATAAGGGCTTGAACTTTTCTTGTAGTTTAATTTGGAGGTGTTCAAGTTTTTCATAGCACTTATATTATCGGTTTTCCTACGAAGATTACCTAACATAAGGGCAAATATTCGAAATAGCTCCGTAGTAACGCCTTCATCTTTAAGTTTTATAAGGTTTTTAAAATTATTTTTGACCTTCACATTACTCTAAATTCTTATTACTTTATGGAAACCTGCCATATAATTTGTCTTGATGTTTACAAAACATAATTTTTGTAATTTATTTTTATTTCATTGAGGTGGTAATGAGAGAAATTCACTAGTTTAAAATCAAACTTATTTAATCCTTCCACTACCCTTATTAAGTCGATAATTTTAGGTAGGGGAGGACCCACGATATGGATGTCTAGACATTTAAACCACGTTTTTTAAATTGAATTCCTTCAAATGAGGTGTAATGTAATGCTTTTTTGTTAACTTCGTTCATCCATGACTTTGCAGTGGAATGCCTAATAAAATCCCATCCGCGCCAGGATCTAACTTTAACTTGCACGTGGCCTATTTTCCCTATTACAATATTATCGTTATTCATAATAAAACTTTTGTTTCTGTGTATACTATAAACCTTAATATAATTATAGGAGTGATCAGGTCTAAAATATTTATTATTATATTTACAACATTTGCGAAATGACCAGCCCTTTTACACTCTTATAATATTCCCCCTTCTTTTGTTTGTAGTCCGTACTTATTAAATTTTCTTTTAATAAGTCATTTGTAAAGCTTCAGAGGACTACCCACATCCTTTAAAGTTCAGATGTCTATATCACCTTCTACTTTGGACATGTAGATTCTAACTCATTCTTCCTCTTCTTTGATATATTGAAGCAAGTAGTATTATACTCAGCGAAGGTTTTGAAATCTTTTCATTTAATGATATCTCTTTCAAGAGGATTCTTAGTAC